ACAACAGAACTCAATTAAAGGTCCCCTATTATACTGTTTTTCATCAATATATTATAGATCTCAGATATATACATGTCTCTGAAGTGTTTGCCTCAAAATACCAAACAGATCATGCAGTGTAGCATCCCATAATCCCCTCTGTTTCAGCCCTGTTTCAAAAGTGCTGATTGAGAGTCTGTTAAGAGGAAAATAAGGAAACACTCCCCACGCCCCTCTGAGAGATATTTGGTTAAAAAGAACACAATGGTGCTGTAGGAGGAGATTCAGGTGATAATGTGTGTTAGTGTTTGGCTAGGTTGACTCAGACAGGTTTTTATATAAATGGGTCAGGAGAAAAAGTGAGAAAATCTTTTTTCCTGAAACTTTCAGAGTCTCTTTACGCAGAGGGGACACATGTTGATGTATAAAATACATGAACAAGTGGATTTTGCATAGTAGGTCCCCTTTAAAGCACTGTAAAAATAAAACTCCACTGTCTCAGGTTGTTAGGAGACCAACACCATACCCAGTTTTGACTAGAGATCCTCTAGAGTGTTAAGCAAAAGCAGAGCACAAGTTCATTAAGCATGCTTAAACACAGGGGTAGCCAACACGGTGCCCGCGGGCACTTAGTCGCCCGCAGGGGCAACGTGAGTCGCCCGCAGGGGCAACGTGAGTCGCCCGCAGGGGCAACGTGAGTCGCCCGCAGGGGCATGTTCTAAAAATAGCTCGCCAAGCAAATCCAAAATGTATAAAATACACAAAACAAAAAAGGAAATGTAATTAAAAGAATCTACCCTATGCATAAACGAAACCTAAATCATAGTGAACTCTATCTACTTACTACAACTCTATATCTATCTAACACCACTCCTCCCCCACAATGAATATCGACCAATCACGTTCTTGCTTGATTTGCGGGACCAGCGTTGCAGTCGGGAAGAAAAGCAATGTGGCACCTCCCCGCTGATTTTCCTTCTGGCAGAATCTACACAACACATCAGCCCCATTGAACAGCCTATCGTGCCAGCCTATACAACACATGAGGGGCAGAGTTTTACTGTGTGTGCTGCAACTTGCATATATATTTATTGCACACGACGCACACACACGGCGTAATTTCCACCTGGGACAGGGGGGGACATGTCCCCCGCTCTTTTCGAAATCCCGTTTGTGTCCACCCACTTTACAAATATGTTTATTTGTATTTATTTTTAACGCAAGCCGGAGCGAGCGAGACAGAGAGAGAGAGAGAGAGAGAGAGAGAGAGAGAGAGAGAGAGAGAGAGAGAGAGAGAGAGAGAGAGAGAGCACACCTTTATCTATTTAAGATAAAGTAAGAAATCATTCCAATGTGTACTATAGGACAATAAAAAAAACAAAAAAGTTTAAAAAGGGGAGTGATTAGTAAAATATGCATAAATAAAAAGAAAGAATGCTAACTATCGGTAACATAAGATAAGAATAAACCACTTTAAATTATTTGTTATTGGTTGTGATCATATTCTAAAGATGTTTGGATTATTGAAAAGTATACAGCTCCCTTTCATCTGAGTGTTGAGAGCTGTATCCATAAATTCATTTTGTGCTCAAAGTGCTCCAGATTGATGCTTTTAACTTCAACATTTTAAAAAAACATCTTCCCGGGGGTGCATGCCCCTGGACCCCCCTAGAGAGGGTGAGGCCCGTCCACCCCCAAATAAAGTAGGTTAAAATAATGAAATTGCATACATTTTCTTTCAGTAAACCCTGAAAACGGGTCCCACAGACCCAAACAGCACACAGGGTTAAAGGTAAGCATATAATAATGTTAAAATGTGCTAAATATATACACTGCAAAAAACAAAAAAAAGAGGAGTAAAAGTAGCCCCTGACTTGTTTTATTTTTTGAAAGTAGCCCTCACTCTAAAAAAGGTTGGTGACCCCTGCTTTAACAGCTTTGGTGTAGTCTTCAAAGATTCAAAGATTCTCCCAGAGTAATGCGCCCGTGCCGGTCATCGTACTTCATTAGCAAGGTCGGCTCGGAGATGTAAACGTTTTAAGTGGAGACAAAACTGTTTGCTGCTGTTAGGCTCAAATGTCAAACTGGCTCGCTGTTCTAATTTGACATGCACATAAAAGTCACTGGCAGACTGTCAACTCAATGTTTTATTGATCATGGAGAATCTCAAAATGTGTTTCCTTCCAAAAAACTCATGGCTATACTAATTAACAAACATCCACTCCAAACATATACTGCAGCCTTATCTCTTAGCATAACTTCAAGGTTGCAATACACAGACAGGCACACAAATTGCAATCTTGTAATAGGTGTCAGGCCCCGAGCCATTACTTCTGAACAACTCAAGAGTTTACAAATACCTGTGAATTGTGAAATATATATACTTTTCTATAAAAGGGGTTTAACACCTATAAGGAAGTTAACCGGTGGTCTAAATTACAGCCGAACCGCTACATTAATATTGAAATATATATGGTTTCAAGGGTACATAAGTAGAGGAGGTGGGGGAGGAAGGAGGAGTGGGTGGAGAGAGAAAATTAGAGAGGGATAGAGAGGTGGACAGATTTCCGGATTTATTGAGGATTAATAAAGACTATTCTACTTCAAGAATAACGCCAGACTAATTTATTGTCAGAGGAAGCACAAAGCGGCATTTATTCACCTCAGGTCATGTAAATGCTAAAGTTTGAAGGTTATCTCGATCTTGTCATGGTGATTTAATAAAAACCTTCTCTTAGAAGAATGACCCCTGAGCTCACAAATGAAACACAATTGTGTGTGCAAAAAAAACACACACACGTGCACTCACAGGCAAAGAGTCCCAGTCACACACCAGCTTTGATTAATGTGTGACACGCAGCAGTCCCATAGTCCCTTTCATTCCATTCTTCACCACAGAACCGCGAAACAAAGGCCTGAGATTAAACAGCTCTGCTTCGCATTGACTCATTAGTCTCTCTCACTCTCTCTCCCTGTGATCTGTGTCTCACTCATTCAGGGCAAGGTCATTTAGGAGCAGGATGAGGAGGGAAAGTAAGGATATTAGAAAAGGACCATCCTGCAGGGATTCTCGCAACAGAGCTGCCATTTGCACCCTAATGATAATCAGCTATTAAGAGGATCTATTCTCATTCAAATCCAGGCACTCTCAAGAGATGAAAACTAGGGGCTGCACGGAAACAGAAACATGTGTGTGTTCTGTATGTACACGAGGATTTCAGGTCGAACACATGAAGCACAATAACAAAAACATTATCAAGGTTTCCTATTCCCAGTGCACGATTGTTGCCTGTGTGTGGTATATGATTGCATTTGACTTTCATCACCCTGCTGAGTGAGTGTGTGTGTGTGTGTCTGTGTGTGTGTGTGTGTGTGTTCGGAACAATGACCCAGATCAAAACAGAGGTGTAGCACGTACATTCTACATCCCATTTAAAAAACAAAAGATACAGAATCAGACAGGTTGTGTGTGTGTGTGTGTGTGTGTGTGTGTGTGTGTGTGTGTGTGTGTGTGTGTGTGTGTGTGTGTGTGTGTGTGTGTGTGTGGCAAATCAAAAGAAACAGACAGGGGAGAGGGCAGAGAGGAGAAGCTGAAAAACCCTCAAGTCTAAATGCTGAAGGCAATCCATTCATCTTTCCTCTCATATGCTCTTCTGGGCTTCAATCCCAGTCCTAGTGAGTGAGTGTGTGTGTGTGTGTGTGTGTGTGTGTGTGTGTGTGTGTGTGTGTGTGTGTGTGTGTGTGTGTGTGTGTGTGTGTGTGTGTGTGTGTCTGCATCTCCCCACATATGGAGAGTAGTCTGAATGATGAACATGATCTCTATTGCAGCAGAACAATGGTGTTTCTAAATAGGACATGAGAGGCATTCAGCCTTCCCTCACACACTGTGTATGGGGGAACCTACGCTTGTTTGCAGGGGCTGAGGAGCACCCAGTGCTATGAGGCATCTGCTGCAGGTGATAGTGTGTGTGTGTGTGTGTGTGTGTGTGTGTGTGTGTGTTTCTGTGCATCCATTAAGTGCCGCTCCCAACGGTGTCCAGAGTTTTTGCTACATCAATCAGATGCTTATTCAGAGATTGCTAGGCGTTGCTCTGGCAGTCGCCCCCCCCCCCCCCCCCCCCCCCAGCTGGGTGATGGCTGCCAGCCCGGCCCCTGGCATCACCTCTGCTCCGAGACCACCCAGGCCTGCTCTCATACACCTGCTAGCTACCTGCCTCTGGAGCTTTACACACTTGGATGTGTTTGCTTCACACCAACCACAACATTCCTGCACCTGTTTGGTAGCAACCTCTACTGTACCGAGATACCCCCCCACCTGTTAATTAGCTATGAACAACAGCCGGGCTGCATTATGTTGTCCAACCCAAATCAATCATTATTAAAGAGGAAGAGCAGCCAATAACGGTATGTGTTTGTATATGCGTGTTTTTTAACCAGCAATTAGGGTACAGGTTTAAAAAGTACTTATGTATAACCACCACATCCCCTGGTAGACCACCACACACACATAGACTGTAATACCCCTGATGTGCAAATATAAAACTTTGTGCAATATACACGCATGTGCAGCCTTGTGCAATTCACGCTTTATTTTTTCTTTCAATGTATTTAGAATCGGCAAACAGTACCAGTTAGGTCTTTATGGTATACTTATTTTCTTAACACAGTATACTGCAACTTTTTTTTACCATGGTGTACTTATCTGCTATTTGTTTTTGTTTTTTTACATTTTTAAAAAAATGGTGTTGTTGTAATATGTAAGTCTATCCTCTTTACTTTATCTGCACTAAACTTCTGCTGTTGTAATAAAGTACAATTCCCTGTTGTGGGATAAATAAAGGAATTCTGATTCTGAAGTTTTTCTAATATACTCGCAATAATGTTTTCTTCAGACAAATTACGTTATCTCAAAGAAAGTAAAGTAGTAGATGATAAGGGATGCCTTTAACTTTGGGAAAACATATGAATTCATATCACCTCAAGAGTATCAATGCCTCAAAGTGTTCCAAGGATGTTCCTACCTTTCCTTCTGGAGTCCCGTCTGACGCTGCTGGGCCTGACCGCTGGCTGGAGCTCTGTCTCTGTTGACATCCTCAGGCTCCAACTGGCTAGACTCCGCTCCGCTTGGCTCCGCTGGGCTCCGAGGGTCCAGTTCACAGCGTCGGTGCCGGCTGTCGGTGTGTGGGCGCCGGGTGGGTGCGTGAAGGCGCCAGGTGTGTGTGGGCACACAGGCTCATGGGAGAGGGATGGGCTTTAGCCCTGACACAACATCCCACACACACCCACAGAGAGCTGCAGAGAGGGAGAGGGAGAGAGAGGTTTGCTTCAGTTGGGGGTGTTTACTCTTGGCAGGCGAAACCTTGCAAGAGTTCTCAGGCGGCATGAGAATGAGCTTGTTTCTGATCGGTGCCTTGAGTGGATGTTGCCCATGGTAACAAACAGTGAGACATGACCTACACTTCCTGCTTCCTTTCAATAATGTTTGGCTACAAGGACACTGCAAAGAACATTCCCACTTCCTTCTTCAATCATGCAATCATTGTTTAAACAGGTTTAAAAAGCTAATAGTATACATTTAATCAAAGTTCTATACCAAAGAGTTTTGAACAACGATCAATCCGTCAACTGAAATTCTGGATAATTACAATCTTGGTGTTGTAGCCATCATTTATGTTGCTGTACTCAGTAAGTTGAATGCTGTAAAGTAATGAGAAGAATTTTGGGGAAAGAAACAAGCAGTCAGACAATCTGACATGTTGTAAACAAGCAAACAGTTTAGTCACATTTTTGAAAACAACCAAAAACCAAATGTTTCTGCAATTCAAATTGGACAAGATTTGTAAACTGCGATGGATGTGATTTGACCATTGACTTTTTTAATGTCTTAAATAATTGTTGCTAATAATGTACATCCATGCAAGTAGCACCATCCCATGTTGTCGGGGCCTCCAATGTTAATATTATCAAAAGCAAGATAACCAAAATGTATAAGCCATGGTGGAAGTGTAATTCTCCTTTAATGCTGCTACCAAACTTGTTGCCCCTCCTGGGCCCGGTCCAGCGCCTGGTGGGCCCCTCTGGCCCCAGATTTCTATTCCTTCTTTGCCCATCTGCCACTACTTTATTCTGAAGTGTTGACTGGCAGCGACTACGACAACGAAGGAGCCAAAAACACTCAGATTCACACTCTAACCCTGTGAAAACACACACATTAACATGCACACACAAATGCAGACAAGCTCCTTTCATACACAGACGTACAAAGACAGCAGGAGACAGCTGCACGGTGACGTGTATAATAACGAATCCGACTACCTTCTGAGCTGCTTTCCACCTCTCCTTGGACTATCAGTCTTGACCTCTCTCTCCCCCTCTCCATCTAACAGTGACTGAGTGCAGACTTGAAGAAAACGAAAAGATTGGTACTTCTTGGGAAAGGGGGAAATCTTCCTTTTTCTCTTCCTCCCCCTCTCCACGGTGTTTGTGTGAATAGGAGGCCCCTGTGAGCCTCGAGCGAGAATAGATAAATTGAGAGGCTTTTAATTTGCTGCAGACAGAACAGAACAGAGTCCATTTAATTCTGCCAGCAGAGGCCATGTCGGCAAAATGCTGACAATATTCTTTATCTGGTCCAAACACACTGGAAAAGTGTGAGTCACTCCAATTACAGGCATTATCAGCAGCACTGTTCCACCAAATGGATGGAGAGAGAGAGAGAGAGAGAGAGAGAGAGAGAGTGGGTATAAAGAGAGAGGGGTTAGAGGGAAGAGAAATGAACAGAGTGGGAAGAAAGTGAGGGGAGAGGGAACACAGAGAGGGTGAACAGATAATGAGTAGGGGGTAAAAGTGGTGAGAAAAAAAGCCCAAGGAAGTCAAATCAGCAGAGAAAGGATGGAGTTTGAACGGCTTCAGCTCCGACCCTGAACACGTCCCCCTCTGTCCCTCTCTTTCCTTTTTGTTCTCTGAATTTGTTCTTCTAGCTGTGAAGTCTTTCAGGCAGCATCTGGAGCTAGTGTTTAATAAAGGCAGTTTGTTAATCCTCAACTTGGATCAGAAACCCCCCTACCCCAACTCCTTTTACACTACAAAACACAAGATTTAAAGACATGTTCGGCTGGTTGTACTTTGAGTGTATGATTACAAAATAAATCACGAAACACTTTTAAGATTAGTTTATATTCTGACTGTACAAATACACCTTTGAGAGCACCACCCCTCACTAAGTGAAGAAGTTCAACTCATCCAACCATTGCAAGCCGAGCCAACCAGTCTGCTGGTTAAAATGAGCAAGAAACGAGACTTTGAGACTGAAAATGAAAAACCGTCTGCAGCATCCCTCTCCAGACTTCTCTAAGGCTCCAGACATAAGGTTGTTTCTCCGGAGAGTCGGGGAATAGTTCTACATCTAAGCTACAGTCCCTGGAGGGCAGAACAAGCACATTTCCCCCCAAAAAGCACATGTGTAGCTTCAACTGTACAAATGATCTGCCTCTTACACACACAGACAACATGAAAGAAAGAGCAGCGCAAATCAAAAGCCATCGTGAACGCTGTAGTGGCGGTTTGACCTGGAATCAGCGTGCGAGCTAAAAGTAGCAGCAGAGAAGGATGTGAACACGGCTTAGTGTGTCTAGATTTAGACAGAAATCTGAAGCCATACCAGAGACTGGAGGAAAGGAGGCGAGAGGAGCAAGCAATAAATTGGTCGTCCGTAAATGGGGCGCTGCCAACAGGCGCGAGTGGGTGATGTGAGCATCGGGCTGTGTGTGACTCAATAAACAGGATGCTGCCAACAGGAGCTTAATGCCCAGAAATCATCTGCAGCTACAATAAAGTCCGCCAGGCAAAAGGAAAGAAAAAAGAAAGAAAAAACGATGGTGGAGGGGGGGTTTGCTGGCACTCTAGCCTCCCCTCTTTCTCCCACCTCCCACTCTCAGGGTAATTGTGTTCTGTCCATCAGGCTCAGAGTTAGATTAGCAGCTCCACTCGTTCAGCTCCACTGCCATCTCAATAATAAATAATCATAGAGACCACCTTTACGCTACGCTCCTCACTGTGCTATGTCCATCTTCTGCTTCCACGTGCTCCTTCCACCAAAACCACCTTTGTATCCTGACACCAATGCAGAGTCCTTATCAGCGACACATTTCTTCTCTGAGCTGCACTCGTTGATGAATAACCACGACTGCGGGTATGAAAGGTTATCCGTGTTACAGTCTGTCATGGTTCAGATGTCTGAATGGTAAATGAACAATCTCTCTCTAGACTACATTACCAGTCAGACACAGTGAAATGCTCCTAGTTTTAGGCACCAAAATGATTTAAAACAACATGAAAAGTCAACTGAGTTACTGCACTAGAAAACCAAAGAGAACATTTTTTATCAAGGCAAACAAAACAACAAAGGTGAACATCGACAGGCAAGAACATGAAATGTAGACCTACCAGTTTATGATATGTAGAATGTAAAATACAGTGTCCTCTCAACTTCGGTATTTTACCAACAGAAGTGAAGAAAGTAACAGAGCGTCAAACGGCGTAAAGGTTGAAAATCAACTAAAGAAGTCAGAGGACAAAAGGGAGTAAGAGCTAAAGGACTGCTTTTGTGTGTGTATGCAAGAGAAAAAGACAGAGAGTGAGAGAGGTAGGAAGATATGGGAACAAGAAAGTACCTGAGAAAATGAGCTGAGGGTTAAAGTTCAGTGTCACACCCAGATAGCTGCTGTATATCAATTCACTTTATACCTGGCCAACAACAAATGAAGTCCTTCATCCCATGTCACACTTATGAAGACATTAGCAGAGATCAAAGTTGTATTGATAGATGGTGACGGATACAACCGGAATACATTTTGGTATTTGAATCCTAAAATAAATGACCTGTCATTCTTCAACAGATTAACAAACTAATTCCAAGGCAGAACCATTTTTTCTCAATGGGCAATAAAATGAAATAGGAGAGACAATCCCAGCTGCGAAGGCTGTGGCCAAATGTCCAAAGTCCTACTGGTCTCTATTGAAACTATGGCCATGCACTGTGGGTTAAAGGTGAGCCACGCGTACTCCTTGTTTATTGTAAGCTGATGAAGAGATGGCTGACTGGTTTTGATGGTCATCATAAATTCCTCATGGTAAAGAAGAAATGGTGACATGATCTGAGGTCCTGGCACTTGTTGCACATTGAACTTGCCATCTTATCTGCCAACATGTTCTTAATTGATCCATTTCTCAACAGTGATTTCTCAGTAATGAATTAATGATTAACAACTGCACCTTTATCACCAACATATAATTAATAGGATGAAGTTACTCTTACATTGCATTAAAACTTCAAAGGATTCGTAAACCTGAACATAGAAAGCGATTGAAATATCTCCAGCCACATGTGCGAGTACAGATTGCAATGCACCCTTTGGTTGAGGGGGGAGAATGTCACTATGGCACAGAATCAAATGTCAGTGCATCTCCTGCTGAGAGGCTGCTGTCAAAAGGCATACCGCCACAGCTCACAACACTCCAGTACAGCCATAGCATGATTGTACGAGGCCGTTGGTGAAAAGGGCCTTCATGACATTGATCTAAACAGTCATTACACCCCCAACAGCACATTTGCAGCGCTTGATTTCAGAGAATTCCTCTTGAGATTGAGGCAAAAAAATAATATGTGGCTTTAACAGTAGTTACATCTGCACCACATACAAACAACGGCTCAAAATGGTTACAGCAGCTGTCAAGTGGATAAAGCAGCAGCCAGTGCAGCAGGCCTGCAGGCGAACAGCAGTGCAGCTAGTTCAGCAGGCAGTCAGCCAGGCCACCAGCAAGCACACTGCAGGAGGAAAACATGGAAACACTGACTGTCTGTGAGCTTGCTCCAGGTACTCCACATGGCACCCTGCCTGTCTGAGGGACTAGAAGGAACATTCAGAGGCCTCATCAGAAAGGTAAACACACACACTTTCCCACCCACAATCTCCTGCCAGAAATAGGATACCCTGCAAGATGACAGATCCACATGCACGTGCACGTGCAAATCGCAAATTAACACGAAAAAAAATGCCATGCATAGTCTTCTTCATCTAACCTATTTACAGACACGGAACTGTAGATATCAAAGCGCTGTGCTCTCTTTGGGGAATTCCTCCTTTCTCATGTTTTAAGGGGAAATAGATGAAAACGAATCTTATTCTTCCTGCGCCTGTGTGTGTGTGAGTGTGTGTGTGTGTGTGTGTCTCCTTGCCTTGTTAATGTGCTGAAATGTAAATTGGTAGTGCTCAACAATGTGTATAAGGATG